TGTGGTTGAAATGAAAAAAGAGAATGAGAATGAGAAAAAAAATGGGTGTCAAACAGGGGCTTAAACTTGTTTGACACCCATTTTAATGGGTTGAAAAATTTTGGAATAGTGATTGATGGGAGAATGTGTGGTGGAAAAGTGATGAAAAGTTTTAGATTTGTGTGTAATATTATTTTATTTGGAGATTGTGTGGTTGAAATGAAAAAAGAGAATGAGAATGAGAAAGAGAATGAGTGCCAAACGGGGGCATAATATAAAGTTGTCGTTTTACCCCTTTCAAAATTAGTGAAAATGGTGAAAAGAAATCGGATGACCACGATAAAATGTTATTAGGTGGTCATGATGAAACGTTATATGAAATTGGATGGCCTGATGAAATAAAATCAAATTGGGTGGCTATGATGATACTAAATATAAAGTTGGATGATCATGATGAAACATAATCAAAATGGATGATCATGGTAGCACATGATATCATAATTGAAGGCAAGAATATGTGCTTATTTGTCAAATATTTAAATGAAAATAAACATAAATCGAAAGGTTTCTGCCTCTCTCACATTCACATAAACCCTCGAATTATACCTTCACTTCTAGCGGGAAACTAAACTCCATGCCCAAAATCAAAATCAAAATCGAAATTCAATAATGTCAAGTGATCGCAAATCAGAACTATACCAAGAACAAAATCATGAAGAACTTGAATTTGAGCCTTACGCACATCATCCTTCTGCCCCAGCTCACGAGGTATTCTCAATCTCTACATGCACATATATATTGTCATCTGTTTTTCTAATTTATAGGTGCCTGTTAGGATATGCGTAAATATTCAGCTGATTGCCTGCACGCTGTACGTGTGTTGGCGGGGGTTGATATGTGATGACTGAATTGGATGGACCGTTAAGATAATTGGGTTCGCGATTTTGCTGTCCAACTATTTGGTAAATGGGGCTTCTTGTAATGATTAGAAAAATTGTATTTGAGATAGGAAATTATGGAACTTTTTGCTTAATTTGTGTTGTTAGACATCATATCTGCATTTATATTTCAAAATAAAGGAACTTGGATGCCTATTACAATATTCATAGATGTGTGGCTCGATTAAAATTACGAAACATGAGATGTGCGTGTGCGTGTGTGATGTATCAGGTGGTGAATTCAATTGAATCTTAAGAACTATTCGTGATTTTGCAGTCCAACTGTTTGGTAAATGGGGCTTCTTGCAATGATTGGAAAAGGTGGATTTAAGAAAGTAGAACATTGTACTTGATGCTTAATTACTGTCAATAGACAATATATCTGTGTTTAAAAGAAAGGGAGTTTCGGATGTTGGTTGCATTATCCAATATTGAGTGGCTAATAGTTAACTGACAAGCCAGTAGGTAGCTTTCTGTAGAATATAGTGTAGACATTTGATGAAAATTTAACTCAGGAAAACAAAAATATCGTCAGAAGAATAATTTGATTTTTTTATTGCGACAGCCAATGTGATAGTGGTTGATTTTGAGTAATGATGAAGGAATGAATTATGAATTATTAACTCTGACTGTTTATATAGAATTACTGACATTTTCTCTGCAGTCTTTTGATATTTCAACAACAGTTGATCCTAGTTATGTGATTGCTTTGATTCGGAAACTTCTGCCGTCGGATGTAAAAGATGGTGAAAAAGATGCTCTTGAATTGGACAAAGGACTAAAAACTAAAGAATTAGAAGAGCATGCTGTAAATTTATCTGAAAATGAAGGGGAAGTTGAGGCTATGGACACTGCTCATAACATTGGTGAAGTGGATAATAAAGAAGCTGTAGATGAAGAATTGCAACATCATCATGATAAGCATCAAGGTGGAATGGTGGGAGAAGAAACCTGGGAAGAGTGTGGATGCATTTTATGGGATCTAGCTGCAAGCGAGGATCATGCTGAATTCATGGTATTGTTATCTTTTCTTCAGGATAATATGATTTACTATAATTTCTCAACAGTCTTAAGTTCCAAAAAATGGTTCTCAATCCATATGAATGGAAGGGTTTTTTTTTTTAATACAGAATTTTGGATTGAAGAGACAAATATTCTTGTTTAGATTTTTTGAAGAGGAAAACATAATTGATTTACCAAAATCACCCAATTCCACCAACCTCACACACCTACAATATAGTATATGCTAAAATAAATGCATAACCAGTCTAGGACAGGCATCTGCCTAAGAATAGATTAAGGGGTAGAATTAAATTTTCTTGCATCATGCAAAGACACCTTTTGCCTTCAAAACATATTGATAGAGACTGTTACATTTCCATGCAGATTCAAAATCTTATTCTTGATGTGCTTTTGGCTACTCTCACGGTTTCTCAATCTTCACGCATCGCTGTAAGTGACCTTTTTCGTTAGTCTACATGATTCATTTGACTCTTGTACTAATCAATAATGAAGATGTCACAAGCACACTCATAGTGCCCCTTCAACACCTCCTTTTTTTTTTTTTTGTTACAGGAAATTAGTCTAGGAATAATCGGAAACCTTGCTTGCCATGAAACTTCACGAAAGCAAATATCCTCTACAAATGGACTGATCAAAGTGATTGTGGATCAGTTGTTTCTAGATGACGTGCCTTGCCTTTGTGAAGCATTTAGGTAATGTAACTGTATTCAAATTAATTTTAGTTTTATCATATTTCTCATCTAAGGTGACGGATGGAAATTTTGTTTTTTGTTAACAAGTTGCGCTTAGTATTTCTAAACTAGTCAATTGAGTGAAATATATAAAGTTGGACAAAAACAATAAGCATATCGATGAGATGCTTGTTGAGTACATGCGACATTTACTGCAGTGTATAACTTTGAGTTAATGTTGTAAACAGGTCGATTACTTTGTGTCTTCAAGGTGATGAAGGTGTCGTGTGGGCTGAAGCATTGCAAGCTGAGCAAATAATTTCTCGTATTTTTTGGATTGCTGACAACACTTTAAATCTACAGCTTATTGAAAAGGTACACAATATTTGTACTGGTTTTTCAGTAAGGATTTTAAATAATTTGTGAATTATGTAGCTGCCATGATATATGCACAATAGTGCTCTATTAATTTTTTGGTGTAAGCAAAATATGTTTCTTTTTCATCATTTAATAGTTTAGTTCTATATGTGATGGTAAGGCACATGATTGTTTTAGAAAGTCTCAAAATTTTGCAATTTCATACTGAGCATGTGGTATGGCACAATAGAAGAAGCTAATGGACCTGAAGATAACGGAATCTTAGAATATTATTAAATAATTATTTAGAACATAGAGCTGGTCCACTGGATATTGGAAGTTGCAAAATAGCCATTGTAATATAAGTTACTTCTGAATTGACAGGAGTATTAGAGGCTTATCAGAAAAGAAGATAACTTTTGGGGCATTTAGGAAATCATTCCTTATCAAGTGACCAGAACTTTGAGATGTTTGCTGATAATTTAGGAATAGAGCAACTTAAGTGTTTACATGGAATGAGGTTTATGATGATGGTAAAATGGTATCGATGTTAAGGTTTGACTTTCCAAAATAGTAAATAACAATTTCAACTCTGTGATTATAAATAATTGTTATTTAAAGACACATTTTTCTGTTGGTTGCTAATTTTTTTTTTCTTTTTTCATTTTTCTGTGTGAAATATCTCTGGAAGAAAGTGCAATATGTGTATATTTGAAATTTGTTTAATTTGGTTGAGTACATGTGATTGGCTCAATGTTTTATTACATTGCAGTGTTGACAGAAGTATAATTGTTTAAATTTATTTCCTGGGAGCTCATATAGGAGAAACATTATTAAAGAACATTTATCCCTTTCAATTAATAGCATAATCTACTAAATTAGCGGACTTTCTTATGATATTTCTTTGTGTTGGAGCCATTGAAGAACTGTTGCTGTCAGTTTTATTGAGCACTACCTTAATCTAATCTTAAACTATTTGGTTCCATTTTCAGAGTGTAGGTTTACTGTTAGCTTCATTGGAAAGTCAAAAGGAAGTGGCAGACATTCTTCATCTACCTCTGATGAAGTTCGGTCTTTCAGCACTTCTGATCAATTTATTTGCCTCTGAAATGAGCATATTAACAGGAGAGCGCACACCTGAGAGGTATGATTTCTTGTCTATTATAAAGTTGCGCCAAAGCACATATCTGATTGTACAAGATTGTGAACCATTGGAACAGTAGTATTAGTTGGAGCATGCCTACTGTAATATCTGGACGTGTTAGAATTGCTTTATGCTCTGTGGCCAATGGAAGCGCGGTTTCATTGGCACACTTGTTTGAGGATTCTTGTTTTTACTCGACCTTTATTCAAAATTTGTGCAAAAAAAACGATTGTTCAGTATCTTTCTTTTTTAGTTGTATACATCTAACTAAGTGTCTACTAGCTGATGATCATTTGATGACTTCTAAATTATTGCGTCTGCATCAGGTATGAAGTTTTAGATTTGATTCTTCGGACAATTGAAGCCCTTTCTGTGGTTGATGAATATTCACAACAAATATGTCAGAATAAAGAACTCTTTCAACTACTGAATATACTAGTCAAACTCCCTGATAAAATTGAGGTATGCTGCTGCTTGAACAAGTCTTCATGTAACCTAATGTCCAATATGTACAACATTTATGCATTTGTATGCTTAAATAAATGTATGAACAGTTGCGTTGTTTAGTGGTGGGCACCCAATTACCACCCTAAATAAGTTGATATCAAAGGCTAGACCGCTCTTAATTAGTTGCATCCAAAACTAGAGTGCTTAGAGCTATTCCACATAATTCACCGGGAGGGATTGCAAATAGTGTGATCAATGCACAAACTGGTGCTTCTGGTGTTGGAGCAGCAGTAGGTGGTGATTTACTGTTTACTACCTCCCATTTTACCAAAATTCAATTTACCTAAGATCTGAGCAAGAGTGAAGCATGCGCTGGGTTAATTCCCTAAATAGTCACTGAACTTTGCCAAAAATTCCCAAGAGGTCACTAAACTTCAAAATTTCCCTAAATAGCTACTGAACTTTGCAAAATGTTCATAGGGGGTCACTGAACTTCAAAATTTTCCTAAATAGTCACTGAACTTTGTCAAAACTTCTTAAATAATCACTTAACTTTACAAAAAGTTCTTAGGGGGTCACTAAACCATTGATGTATGGGGTCCCAATTTGCAAAGTTCGGCGACCTCATGAGAATTTTTGGCAAAGTTCGGTGACTATTTATGGAAGTTTTGAAGTTCAGTGACCCCCTAGAAACTTTTTGCAAAGTTCAGCGACTATTTAGGGAAGTTTTGAAATTCGGTGACCTCCTGAAAACTTTTGGCAAAGTTCAGTGACCATTTAGGAAATTAACTCCTCGTTCATATGATGGTGGAGATGTAGCAGATGGTGGAGGCTGAAATTCCTCCCTAAATGTATATGGTAACACACAGAGGGAGGGAGGTGCTGGAGCTGTTCATGAATTTAGGCCTTTTCCAAAATTCAATAGAAAAACCAGAGAATAGTTTGTTGGTTGTTTGTCCAGTTTCGTCCACTGCTTATACCAGCGAGTTTTACCTCTTTCAATGAGAACATCATCTGTCCCTGCAGGTTGCCAACTCGTGTGTAACTGCTGCAGTGTTGATAGCAAATATTCTGACTGATGCAGCCGATCTAGCTTCCGATTTGTCACGAGGTGAAACAATGATTATTCCTTTCACTAAAATTTTGTCCAAAGGCTGTGCATTATTTTCTTCTCTTTTCAAATAAAACAAAACTAAAATTAACAGTGATGTTTTGGGTCCTCTTCAGATCCAAGTTTCTTACAGGGTATTTTTGATATACATCCACTTGCTTCCAGTGACGTGGAAGCACGAAGTGCTCTTTGGAGCATCATTGCAAGATTATTATCTCGGGTCCAAGAAAGTGAGATGAGCCCATCAAATTTGCATCTTTTTGTTGCAATTTTTGCTACTAAAGTAGATTTGATAGAAGATGAACTCCTTGACCATGAGTTGGATGATGTAGAACACGAGAGCTCTGCTACTTGTGGCACTAAAGCAAATGCCAAAAGAATTGCTGTATCCTTTTTTCTGTTACTTAAATTCAACTAAAGAATCATTCCATTTAAATTGGAGTATTTCTATCTGCGCACTGCAGTTTTGTAGTTTCTACAATCACTTTGTTCACCTTCACTTGGTTAACAGCTGAAAAGAATATTCGATATTTTAACACAATGGAAAATTCTAGAGGATAACAGAAAGAAGGTTTCCAAGGAAGAAAACTACATCAATGAAGAAGATGTTGATAAATTGTTGAATATCTGTAATAAAACATGGGGTAAGAGAGGCCTTATATTTTTACGTACATTTCCCCTTTGTTCCTATCGTTGTTTTTCTTGACCTTATTCTGATTCCTTGTAAACTAGTATAGTATGAAATTGTGATTTTACTCGTGCTATTTCCAATTAGTTGGCTATGTATATATGCCACTAGATTTTTAGGAAGAATAATTTTCTGCTTCAATATCTAATGCAGGATCATGCATAATGGATCATTGTTGATGGTCACCCTTGTGAAAGCTTTGCCCTGTGAAACGAGAAGACCTAATAGGTGATGGAGGAACTTGAACCTAGTCCTTGGTTGCTAGCTGCATATTTGGTACACAGTATTCAATACAACCAGACACGACAATCTAGTGCTATCCAATCCTACCAATCATGCTATATTAAGTGCTCATATTTGTCAATGCGTGATAAGCTTGTCTATCTATCTATTGGAGCCCTTTACATGTATTTATTAACTGTTCGGCCACTTTACCGTTGATCTTAGAGGCTAAAAATTAGTCTTGGGAATGTTTGAATAGATGGCTTCCATCAACGTGTCAAATAGTTTGAGGATTGCTTATATTCGATACGTCAAAATGCTAGCTTTTGTAATTTTCAATTATAATTAGGGATCATACAATTATCTTTTTCATGCTTTGCTTGAAGGCTTGGAGAACATTGCAATTAATAAGATTAATCTAATTGCACATAATATTTAGCTTTGAATGAAATATCATTTGAAACTACATGATCAAGTCATGTTGAAGAGCGTGATACGAGATAGCATAGTTGGAAACGAACCGCCTCTGAACCTTTTCTTCGCAAAAATTAGTTGACTTCACAGCTTCCTGGGAAATGATTTCAATGGAACGCATGAATTTCATCGAACCCTTGTTTTCTCACCTAGCAGTAAATCATGGAACATAGGCCGGTAGAGCACTTCGAAGATCTCGGTGACTTCAAGGTACCACAGACTCCCTTTCTGGAAAGGGAGAAAGATCAACCATTTTGTGAACCTGAAATTTGGACAACGTCAGCTTACATAAAATGTTGACAGATGAACTGTATAAATTTTATTCTGAATTCGAGTTTTTGGTTCGACCTGAAGATAATGAGAAGTGCATCAGCATTATCTCTGCATCAATCATATTCGTGCGTGGAACCCTTAAATTAGAGTGATCGTAAAGAAACGATTATAGAACAACAAACAGCATAACTTTGCTACAACAATGAACGGAAACAATGACAACAAGCGCATCTCATTCATCAAGTTTACTGATGGCATGCTTTGCATATATACTCTGAGGAAGGCGAGACTCAAGACCAGTAGTGAGAAAACGAACTGAACTCGGGTTTATACATGCAACCCCGCGATCATGTCTTTTAGCTCTATCCAACATTGGATACTCTGATTGTTCTTATAGCTTTTCATCTCATGGCACTTGAGCTTGCCTCGAGAGAAAAACCTTTGACAGAATCAACAACAAAACACAGACCAAAGGATGGCATAATAAGCATACGGTAAAAATAACTCTCTCTTAGTTTCTTATATATAATTATCTGAACCAATAACTAAAACATTTCAATGACAACTGTTACGGAATAAAACAAGAATAGGAAATAGAAAAATGGTGATTATATTCCCACCACAATTTTTATTTTTTGCACCACATTTTAATTGCACTTAAAGTTCTTAATCTTTACTCATTATAACACTTATATCTCTAAAGGTTTTTCATATCATTCTTGTCCTCAAACTTTCCATTAATTAACACATTTTGTATTTGATAATAGTTTCATCTTCAAAAGTCCATTGAAATGGCGTAAAACAACTTATTTTCCCATCATATTTTTTAAAAAATAATAATAAGTGTGAGAAAGTATTTTTTTTTTTCCTCATTTCAAAGCATGGCAAGATGCACAAATTAATAAAAGGCTGAAAATAAGAATTTGACAATTAAAAATGTTAAGGAAATAATTGTTACAATGAGTAAAGATTGAGGAGCTTAACTACAATTAAAATACAAATTTACGTGGAAACCCTAGACGGAAAACCATGGGCAAGGAAGGAGAAAATTCATTATATCAAAGATGAGTATCAGAGATGATTGCTTTAGGCGGCTACTCCAACCCTAAAATTCTATATTACACAAGGACGTTTATTACTAATACTCGTTTTATCTCATTTCACAAAGTGACACGGCATTGACCCAGGAAATCAATGTCATGCAAAAAGGACTTCCAATAACACCTAGAAGATTCGACAAGTGACATATTATCATGACAAAGACGACCAAAGTCACTCAAGTTGTGAAAGTCAAATGATTTTTCAAGAGTATCAAGTCAATCAAGAAATGATTCCATCAAAGTCCCTTAGTTGGAATGTTACTTGCCTAGAAGGAGAGAGTACGTCCCAGACAAAGTTTCTAGCCTGGGGATAATTGTAGTGATAAGGGAAAGAAGAATGCACATCATCTAGGTAACAATCTAAGGACATAATATAGATGCAAGTTAGTGACTTAGTATATGAATTGTACATGGTATATGACTTTTCTTTCTTTCTTTATTTATTTATTTTTATTTTTTAAAAGCACACTAATAAAGCATAATATGTTGATGATTTTGTGTATTTTTTTTCTAAAAAATTTTGACAAGTCAGTACACCGAAATAACGACACATTTCCAACATAAAAGAAATTAGTGCCTCACGAGACTTAGAAGAGCCAAATGGTGTCCAAGTTGTCACCTTCAAACTGATTTAATTGAATTCTCTTGAGCGGCTGATTCAATTATGTTTATTGGCTAAACCTTAAACCCTAACAGTGTAATCCAAGAATTTTCCATCCTTGTTAATTGGAAATTGGCTAGATATTTTCCTAGGACACAGTGGCCTTAGGCAAGTCTACTTCTTCATCCCCATCTTCTATAACCATTCCGATTGAAATCTACAGGGTTTCAATTTATGATCCATCAAAGCCGAGTAGTTTCAGTTTTTCCCATCCCTTATCTCGCCTTTGTGGATTTCTTATTTATATTTGCTTAACTACTCTTTCTATGCCATAGCTAGGGTTGGATAAAACTCTCGAATCGAACTAAATCGAACCGAACAGTTCTTCATAAGTTAAATACCCAAACGGGTATCTGAATTGAGAATCGACGGGGTTCGGTTCGATTCTCGATTCTAGACCCAGAACCGAATAAGAATCGAATTTAAATAATTATTTTAATTTTTTATATTGAATTAATTAATTTTTTTAATTTTTTCTAAACAAATTAGCAAATTAACTGATTTAGTGATTGATGTTCTAATTTTCAAGCCAAGTCCATGCGTAGCTAGCCCAGCCCAGCCCAGCCCAACCCAACCCAACCCAACCAAATTTCTAAAATCAATTTTTTGATTTAATTTTTTGGTCAAATTATTAATTTCATTCTTAACCCAAGATTTAGGTATTTTTAAGTTTTTATCATTCTCTTTCTAATTTCACACTTTCATTCGGTAACCACTGAGTCAATGACCCCAAATTATTTCATAAATTGAAAACCTACATCTACATGCCCAAATCGAAATCGCCGACTGACGAGTCCGACTTCCCCTCTCCAATGCCCATCGAAGCCGCAACCTCTAATCACGACCACCGATCATTGACCATTAAAAATCTGTTAAAAAATTTAATTATGGTACAGTACGGAACCGAGCCGAACCGAACCGAACCCGAACGGTTCCATTTATTAAATACCCGAAAATTTTGGTTCGGTTCAATTCGATTTGGTTCGGTTCTATTCGGTTCGAACCGAACCGAACCGGACCATGTCCAGCCCTAGCCCTAGCCATAGCCAATAACCCCATCTTGAAATCGTCAACAAGTCTGAATAACTGCCTCTTCGCTAATCTCAACAAGTCCCTTGTTTGCTTTGGTACCTATCTCTGTTACATTCTGACACGTCTAATTCCACAGGAATGAAGGAGGGCATTCTTCCTACTACCAATTCTACCTGATTAAAGGCTAAATGCTGTCGAACCCAAGGGATCCTATTACCAGTAAGATCAACAGCTGGAAAGCCAAAATTTACTCAAGCCAGAAGGCTTCAACTAATACATTTGTTTTCATTTGAGATAACTTTAAATGCAAAGAGAACTTGAGCTACTATGTCTGGCTCATTACAATTTTGCGTTCCTTTAAACATGCCTAGCATTGCCGTTCACAAGAACTCATTTTGAGATAATTGGTTCACCAAGGAGCTAAATATTCTATTTGGAGTATGCAAGTTCTGCATCTGCTTTTGCAACCAGAAGTTAAAGTTTAAAATGGTATGTTACCCATTTAGTGGGTGATTGGACTACAGGAACTGGTGGTGTATCCGCAGCACCCAACTCATCATGGTATGGAATGCTTTTGTGTAACCTTTACAATTATTAAAGGGAAATGCAAAAACTCAAGTTTCTTGCAATTAAACATACCATATCTCTGGCTCTTTTGGAACAAACTCCCTTCAATCCTAAGATCAAGGCATAGATGCAAGTTTCGGTTTGTTTGGAAGGCTTTTACCAACTCATATCAGCATGGTATGAAATCCACCTGGAGAACACATCAACCACGACCACCGATCATTGACCATTAAAAATCTGTTAAAAAATTTAATTATGGTATGGAACCGAACTGAACGGAACTGAACCCAAACGGTTCGATTTATTAAATACCCGAAAATTTTGGTTCGGTTCGATTCTGTTCGGTTCTCTTCAGACCGAACCAAACCGAACCATGTCCAGCCCTAGCCCTAGCCTTAGCCATAGCCAATAACCCCATCTTGAAATCATCAACAAGTCTGAATGACTGCCTCTTCGCTAATCTCAACAAGTCCCTTGTTTGCTTTGGTACCAATCTCTGTTACATTCTGACACGTCTAATTCCACAGGAATGAAGGAGGGCATTCTTCCTACTACCAATTCTACCTGATTAAAGGCTAAATGCTGTCGAACCCCAAGGGATCCTATTACCAGTAAGATCAACAGCTGGAAAGCCAAAATTTACTCAAGCCAGAAGACTTCAACTAATACATTTGTTTTCATTTGAGATAACTTTAAATGCAAAGAGAACTTGAACTATTATGTCTGGCTCATTACAATTTTGCGTTCCATTAAACATGCCTAGCATTGCCGTTCGCAAGAACACATTTTGAGATAATTGGTTCACCAAGGAGTATTTTACTAAATATTCTATTTGGAGTATGTAAGTTCTGCATCTGCTTTTGCAACCAGAAATTAAAGTTTAAAATGGTATGTTACCCATTTAGTGGGTGATTGGACTACAGGAACTGATGGTGTATCCACAGCACCCAACTCATCATGGTATGGAATGCTTTTGTGTAACCATTACAATTATTAAAGGGAAATGCAAAAACTCAAACATACCATATCTCTGGCTCTTTTGGAACAAACTCCCTTCAATCCTAAGATCAAGGCATAGATGCAAGTTTCGGTTTGTTTGGAAGGCTTTTACCAACTCATATCAGCATAGTATGAAATCCACCTGGAGAACACATTGGCACAGATCAGTAACTCCGTTCTGGGGTATTCTTTCCCCGCGTCACTTTCCATCCATTCTATGGTTAGTACTTAAAAACAAAAGATATATTGTTGAACTGGGCTCTCGCTCAAACTCACAATGTAATATGCAAAATCAGTGCCTCTTTATGATACCAAAAGGCTCAAAAATGCTAGAAAAACTATCCATTGTCTTCATATGAACATGCAAGTATGATCCTAAGAGGAATTATTATAAATAGTTGTCTATTTCATTGACCAGAAATGAACAGTTGAAGGTTTAACATAAAACAATCATTTTCACAAATCTTTGACCACGATAATATTCTTTACCTCATAAAATATAATCACTTTACACCAACAACCAGATTTGCATATTCATGTAGAAATTTCATGGTTAAAAGGATTGACATCTTACCTTGACCACGGAATTATCACCACCATGGACAAAATGAACTCCAATCACCGTCACATACATCCCTGCACACACTAGATAAACAAGTGATTGAAATTTTCAGAAAAAATAAAATAAAGAAAAAACCAAGTAAAAAACCAGACCTGTTTCCCAATTGCGACTACCGAAGTCGCCGGAGAGGAGTAGCTCAATAATACAGGTGCCATCGTCTAGGAGAAAGCATCCGCCGCCGGAGGACGACAATGTAGAGACTAGAACGCCCCGCAATTCGGCTTCCAACTATGAGTTCAATCAGGGAATTAAGAGAGAAACAATATATTAATGAAATTATACATTCATATGAAAATTACGTCTATACACATACACATATACATTCATATAAATATACATAGGTGTGCCCCCACGGGCATGACGCAGTGGTAAAGCAGGAGGGTTCTCTATCGAGTATCGAAAGTTCAAATTCCCGCGGCAGCTGGAAGGCAACATCTATGTTGGAAAGCAGATGTCTACAGGGAGGAGAATCGCCGAATGTCCGGCCCAAGTGTATATAAGTTGTGACAACATTCGAATTAACCTGGGTGGCAAACCGGGGGAGAAGGCCGCCACTACTCAGGATTAGTCGAGAGAAATTTGGACACCTGAGTCATCAAAAAAAATATACATAGGCGTGTTGGAAGAGAATGCCGCTGAGAGCAAAGGCTTGCTGCCACGTCGCTTTTCAAGCGTCACAGCGAATTTCAGCGCTGTTAAACTGTAATCCATAATTTTTAGAAATTCTACTCAAAAACTTTCCCCCTGTCAATAAATTCAAATTTAACTGTTAATTAAGTAGTTTACTAACTTTAATGACAACCGCAATGCAATTTCGGATGATCGATGAAAAATTGTTTCTCTTATCAATTAATATTGATTACAAACTGCAGCTTCGTCGTAAGAGATCAATTATGACTAGGTTGAAAAATATAGATATAGGAGGGAAATAGTCCAATAGAAAATAAAATATAACGGAAATTTGGTGTAAATAGTCCCTAACCTTTTATACCAGCGTGCAAATGGTCCCTAATGTTTATTTATTAACATAAACGTCCCTAGCTTATATGTTTTGGTCCTTTATTAGAAGAGAAATACCAACGTGGATGTGCCCTTAATTTTTAATGAAAAAATTTGCAACTAGTTCACTAAACTTTAGAGTCCTAAATTTTTATTTAATATTTTATTTATCGTAAGAAATATATTATTGTAGTCTTATTAATTAAATTTTTTCTAGAAAGAAAAAAATTGATTAAACTATCTTGCTTTAAGGGATTAAATCCACCAATGGGACACAACTTTACACTTAGTGTCACCATGGTCATTCAATTTGATTTTGTTTCACCATAGCCATCCAATTTTATATTTAGTGTCACTATGGTCACCCAATTATATATAACTTTTCATCATGGCCATTGTTAAATTGTCGTCCGTCCCCAACCTTACGCCATTGTTACATTTTCATCCTTAACCTTCTTTCATTTGGCAGCATCATTTACAATTTATGAATTTAGGTGTACAATTAGTCTTTGAAGACATATTCCGCCCATTTTCGCCGACAATGCAATATGCAAAATAGGTATTTCTAGTAATATCATATTCAAAAATTTAAAAATGATGACATTCTTTATAAAAATCAATACAGCAAAAGTACAAGTTTTATCACAATCGACATCGCATTTTACAATAAAAATAGATAAATGTCAAATTTAAGACGAAACCCTAAAGGAATGAACATCAAAAGCAAATTAAATCGACTCGAAAATTAAATGTTCAAAATATCTTTAGGAAATGAGGGAAATGCCAGCAGCAAGCAAGTCATCAGAAATAATTTTATTTGCAGCCTCTGAAGGATGAAATCCATCCCAAAACACATATTCTGTTGCATTTTTACAGGTTCCTGGGGACTTTGCATTGCATAATATAGACGTCTCCACCAATCCAGTGCCACAACATGCCTTTCTTGATTCAAAAAAGCCTGCATTTACAATTGTAGAAATGTCCCTTAACTATTCCTCGAGCACTAGAAATTTAAAAACATGTAAAAGAAATAGGACGTGGTATGTATTAAGATTTTGCGTTCCATCTTAAAAAATCAATTTGATTAAAAGGAGTAATTCAAGTTTATATATATTGGTTAATGTTTTAATTTTTATTTGACGTGGGATTTAACCCTTAACAACATGTGCTTGTCGAATTCACATGTCTAGGGGAGAGTTGATGTCTGCCATGACACCTTAAGTATTGGACTCAAATCCAATTGATTATATTTCATCATATGTGCCTGTTTGGAGCTCATTTTCATCTCATTAGTAGACATTTTTTTACCGTTGCACGGTAAATAACTATTTCTTTATTCAAGATTTGACACAAAAGTCTGTCAAGAGTTAATCCTCTCCTTTATACTTTTCCAATTTTGCCCATCACTCCAACTACCCCATTTTCAAAAAATGCACATTGATTTCTTTGCCTTTAAAGGGGTTTAATTGGAAAACAAACAAAACTCTTGACAAACTTTTGTCAAGTAGTGTCAGAAATCTTGAATAAAAAGAGAGTTGTTCACTGTGCAACTGTAAAAAAATGTATGAAGATGAGCTCCAAACAAGCACAAATTATATATTTGATTTTTAGTGAAAGAATAGAAAGATTACCATTGTCACTAGGTTTTGTAACCAGGTCATAAAGAGGTTGGTAGATGTCCAAAACAACAAGATTAAGACCAGAAAGCTTGCTTTGCAAATTCTGGGATGTTGCATTCAGTTTATTGTTGAATGAAATTGCTGCTTTGTTTACTTTTTCTACACAGTAATTGCTGTCCTCTCCAAATATCGTAATCACTGCTGGTACACATCCAAGTGGTGGCAATGTTGTCACTCCAATCTTCCTTGCTCCCAACTTGTACAATTCCTGTTGAAAAAAAGGTTTTCTCGTTATATCACGAACTTATTAGGTGTACTTTGGATCTAGGGGTATATTAGGCATTCTATAGTTCTACTAATATATCTCTATACATGAAGGATTTTGTGGGAGTGGCTTTTTTGGTGAGGCCACACAAACTTCGAGGTCGTGAAGTCACCATCATAATCCTCTTCTTCATAGTGAAAACATGTAGTAGCGAGTGGATTAGCTATCACTATGATAATAAACTACTATACATTTGTGGGTGTTTTCTCATTTTGTTTCGCTTAATATTTCTATTGTAATTGAGATTATGGCTTAATATGCAACATTCCAATCGACTTCCTTGCAAGCCCACAAGATACAATTCTCAATCGCTGGGACCTACGGGCCAAGGGCCAGTTTACTATGGGGGCATAGGCCTCCTTAAACAGGAGCTTATCCTGGTCATCCCAACGATTGACCTTGGAGCCAGTAATTTTGAGGTCCTATCTAAGTTGTTTTGTAGATATTACCTGTATGCATTTTGTGTAGGATTGCAGGAGAATATCTGAGAACTGATCAGTTGTGTAGACCTTGTAAAGAAGAGGATTAATGTAGTAATTTTGAACAAAATCACTGCTTCCAGCACTAATTAGGTATACTGAACCAGAAATTATTGATGAAGCATTGGATTTCCCTGCAATTCCCACCAGTTTCTTCTGATAATCCTTGTAGAATTCTAGTTGCTTGCTCAATGGAATTGTATTCTACAAAAGCAAAATCCCATTTTTGAGTGTCAAAGATAATGACATATATAAATATGTACCTATTTCTCTTACAACTTATTGCAAAAATCGGATATGACTAAACTGTATTAAAGAAACAATAGCTAAAATCTCGTTCATTATACTAATTAGTCCCGTCCAATTCTGCATATCGAACATGCACTGAAACTTTTGATAGAAAAATAAACTGGGCTTGCACGTAAGGGGACCAATCCTATCTAGCAATTTAAGGTTTTAAACGAGGTGATTTGACATAATATCGTCTAAATTGTGTTATACTAAGAAGAACTTTACATGATGCATTTAGCATTGTTCTTACATAGATTTTAGCTGTGGCGTCATAATAACCAGAGGAAGCAGAAGCAAAGTTAGCTCCAATCAACAGGTTTTTTCCAGTAGCATTCTTGCTTAGATAAGCCGGTGGGTATGAAGTAAATCCAAGATTTTCAGCTGCAAATTTGAAGAAATTAAACAAGTTTAAATTCATAAGAATACTAAAGAGAGGCGTTAAAGACATACTTTAAATAAATTAATTTGTGTATCCTATAAGAGTTTTAAGTTTTTAGATATGGTATCAGAGCATACAAAGGTTTGACATTCTAATCTCACTACCACCTACTTACGAAATATTATGCTTAGGTTGCTGATGAAATTATGAATCAGCCTACACTTAATGAAATGAGCAAGTCAAATTCACTTCTCTATATGAATATGGCCTACAACGGGACATGCGGAAGACATAATTTAAATAAATGGGCCCGTCTCTTCTCTAACGGCTTAAACTTTTAAACTAGAAGAGCCGAGAGGGGAACATCTTAAACTTTTAAACTAGAAGAGCCTAGAAGGGGAGACAGATTAGGAAGAGTGGTTGAGAGAAGAAAATTTAGTACCAGTGAAGTCTGAAGCAAGTTTTCCATTACAGAATCTCCCAGTTGGCTTGCGATTGACAAAGTCTCGTCCATAGGGTGGGAAATTTGCTTTAACAATTGTTTCAAGATTATTGTTATTTCCCACATCAACAATTGAGTCTCCAAATATGAAGAGTGCAGGAACTAGAGACTGCGAATTTATCGCGCCGAAACGGAAAAAAACCATGATGACAGTGGCAAAAAAGTTGAAATTTTTCATGGTTTAAGGTACTACGAATTCTTAGTATTGGTACTAGAAAGACAGAGAATATGAAGATTTGCTTATAAGAAAAGAATTTATATAGTATGTGCTTGAGGGCATAATTGGACATTGGTTGAAATGGCTACATCTTGTGATCTTGTGCAGTTGTGCCATTTTCAAATGTATATAATTCTAACTAAAGAGAATATAAAAAGGAATTTTTTTTTTTCTAGAACAAGTTTTTGTCATGATGTTTAGGGAATTCCAAAGAAAAGGGAAAAAAATTTTTGAGATGAATTTATTATTTATTTAATATCTACCAATTTTGTTAATTTAATAGGTGAAAACTTATAATCTTTACAATTTTTTATTTTTTATTTTTTTATTTTCTTTGGGGTCGTTGGTACCAATTGTATTTCATTTTTTTTTCTTTAGTGTTTTGACAAAGTAGGTTGTTGATTGCTCGGAGTGAAAATTGTAGCGCATGTTTGGTACGTATAATTGGAAAACATTAAATATTATAATGAATAAGATTTTATTTTCTTCTTCTTTAATATTGTCCAATAATACATACAAAACATGAATTGATGTCATAATTTCAAATGGATCATTGCACCCTTTTTGTTAAGTCAGTGCTTGTTTGATAAAACTTTGTTAAATTTTTATGTAACTTATCAATTAGCCAAAATTCAACTTTAATAATACTTTACTTCAACCATTCATTGATTCCAACTCTCTTACATAGAAAAAAAAAAAAGCCTACATAAATGTTTAAAAGACATAAATAAATTTGAGCTAAATATAAAACATCAACTATCATGTCAATAATTTTTTTCTTTTTTCTTGTTTTGAAAAGTTAGGCCTTGTATGGGAAGGATTAAAATCAGATTAAAATTGAAAATATAGCCGTTATTGTTGACTTTTATTAGACGAGTGGGACCCAATAACGGCCATATTTTCAATTTTAATTGGCTTTTAATCCCTCCCGAACGGGACCTTAAATTCAATAACTGGACTAACGTGAAAGTGTAAATTCAATAACCCGTCATAACAAAATGGATCCAGTTATGTATATCAATAGTTCAAAATCGCACTCAATGCAAACTCTGAATACTAGAAATGATTGAGCGAGTATCACCTCCCACACTTCATTTTACGACTTTGCAAAAACCCTTTTGTTAAACAATCACCCATGATTTCTCTCGCTTTTAGCATAACTCACCCAATGAGACTTCAAAAGTCCACTCGAACTTTAGCATAAGTTTGATTACCCAATTTTTTTGTACCCATTGCCATGAATTAAGCAAACCTCAAAAAAAAATAAAAAATAAAATATCTTGTGACACTTGTTCAATTTGACCATGTTATTTATTCATAAATTGGGAAATCTTGTTGCAAAAGCTATATGCTATATGCACCCAAAAGAATTGTTCAAAGAATTGGCATTGGTTCCACCTAAATCAACTGGCTTTTCTTGCTGAACTTTTACTTTTAGCTGTCCTGGCTTGTAATTCACATTCCTTGCATGTAAAAAAAAAAATCTGGAAGACTTCTTAACTCCAATTCAACAATATCTACTCACATTTATTAATGCACTTACAACTGGTTTAGCAAAAAGGATTAGATAGTATTCTACAATATTAATGAAAAAAATAAGCTGAATTCTAATCTTTATACTGTCGAGTCATGTTTAATATTGCGTACCACTGATAAACTACTCTATTAACAATTGAAAATTTGTAGTGCGACTTTTTTTATAATATTGTTCACTTCCGTCGAAATCAATGTTACTGCTTTTAAAAACACATTTAATGGCTCTTTTGAACAATTGTTCTACTATATATGGGGTGGGGTGAAAGCTGTATCTTAGTGTTTTTCTTGATGGTTTAGTTCTCATATGAATTGGTTGGTGTAACAAATCTGTTTCTAGGCTTCTTTAATATGGAATTGATGTTCTCTTTTATCTGATTCTTGTGCCAAGTACATCAGCTAAAGCAAAATCAACAATGTTATATTAGTCAAAATAGGAGTTATTTAGGGCATGTTTGGGCCAGATTAAAATCTGATTTTAATTTAAGTCAAAGTCAAACAATTAATATTAACAATATTTTTCATGGGTCCCACATCTTTTCAACCATACATTTCAAAAACTTCTATCACAATCCACTAAAAATTTAATTTTAATCCCTACCATACACCCTCTTAAACTAGTGATCATAATTGGCTAGCTAAAATAAGAGTGTAAAAGTGGATGAGTCGGTAGGTCTACGTTATAAAAGCCCGGCCTGCCTTTGCTAGTAGGCCGGTCCAGGCATGAGAGTCTGACCCGTCTGTTACAACAGCCCATAACCTCAGCCAAAGCCACAAAGAAATAAATAAAATAAATTTGGAAATAAAAAAAAAAAAAGAAATTGTATTTGAGATTAACTCTTTGAAATATAATGCAATTTGACAAGTTTGATAAGTTTACATTTAGTTCAAATAATTTATGATATTCGGAAAATTGGAATAACCGGGAGGGGGTTTAGAGAGCTAAAATGTAACAACACTTTCCCATTTTCAAGCCTCTTGATGATCTTGTCTAGTTCGACGACCCTAACATGCCACGGGATAAACAATTACAAATGGCAACAAAGAACACAGCTCCAAGGGGATTAAATGTGCCCATAACAAGAAAATATCACTTCCACATCATGTCAAGTAGAATTATGCAGAAAAACTGGAAAAAGAATACTTCTTTTCATTACAAGATTTGAGGAAAACAAAATTTTCAATTACAAACTTACATCTAATGCCTCCAAACATCCCCATTAGCCATGAAGACATCCTTTTTTTCCAATTACATGAATCTCAGTCGCTACTGCTCGGCTCTAGCTTTTCCGCAAAACCTTGTGTTAAGGCATTTAAGTTCTCCAACAAAATCTCTCGATCATCAATCACAGTCGGATATTTATTTTCTTGGACATTTTCATGATATCCGAATATATTCTATCTCGTCCCAACTCTGTACCCGAGGCTCCGGCAGCTACTCGCAGCACGTCCTCAATCAAGGCAACATTCCCCATTATATCAACATGTGCACCACTCTCTGAACCCCTCCCCTCGAGCAAATTTGCTGGTGCTTTGTGCTTGTACTCTCTTATGTATGTTGAAATTCCAGAAGGATTAAACAGCGTTTTACCTCTCCACCCTTTGGCACACATGAAACCAGCGCTCAAGACCGGGACGCTCTCATCACCGTCCACAAAGTATGTGCCGCCCTTTAAGCAGCCATTGTTACTTCCGTCTGCAGAGCTATCAATTTGGAAAGGGATGCTATTGCACCTGCCGGAGGGTGATTGTTTATAGACGTATGATCTTTCAGTGGGAATGCCAACTCCATATGAACAGTAAATCTCCATGTCCGGAGCATCTGGCAACCTGAAAACCGAGAGACGTCAACAAACTTTGATGCGGGACTTACAGAAGCAAGGGGTCAAAAGCATTTATAATCAGTTAAATGCAGAATTCCCAAATGTGTCATAGACAATGTATGGCAGACAGATGAAAATATCTACTAATGCAACAGAGAGTAATACCACGGCAAACTTTGGCATATCGGTTGAAAGCCACACATGATGGTATTGGTATTGAACAAAGATGAAATAGACAATAAATGAATTACAGAATACATATTCTTACTTGGTCTCAAGTGGATTCGACCAATATTTGTAATGGTTATACTTTGGATTGTCAAGGTTCTCAGCTATACCATGTGAGAAGTGTGATTCGGCCCTCTTCATCATCTTTGGAGCAATGACACGTAGAAGATCTAATAATGTTTTCATGGTATATGCTTTATTTTTGGCGAGTCTTTGGATGTTTTCTTGGCTCATCTCATCGTATTCTGTCCATACGCCTCTACATGATGAATCGGAATTTGACGAGCTATTATTGCACATAAGTTCCTGTTTCTGAGGCCGTTAGAAAAACGAAACAATTATGATATTATCTTTCTAAAATCAGAAGTACACAAAGCTGAAATTTAACTTATTTGAAGAACAAGGAAAGCACTTATTTTTTACTAATTATGTAGCATTGAGATCTTATAGGAAAATAGCAGTCGCTAATTTAAATATAATAACAACATGTGGAACAGTTATACCTTGGAATCAAGAGTCTGGAGTTGCGAAGAAGGCAAATCTGATACTATTTTCCCGAATGAGATAATCCGTCCGTATTTCGTTGGCTTTTGTTGTACTTGGAAAAGCCTCCCACTGTCACTGCTATTGCCATTGATGTCAAAATTTTGCTGATAATTTTTCTTTGCTGAATCACATACATGATGTTCTTCAGGTGACCATTCCAAGTTGCCCCATATGGTCTCTCCTCCTTTAGGTATCAAAGAAATAACGGAATCCCATGTTCGAGATACGCTCATGACATGTTGTAGAGTTCGAAGGCCAAGAATTTTGGAATCGAGAAGACCAGGAGCCAAAGCTCTTCAATAACATATGCAGAAGAATTAATTGGCATGATGAGAATAAATCGACATAATCGGATGGGGTTTACTTTGAATGCATAGTATACAAAGAAAAAACCTGATAAAAGCAACATCTTGGGTCTCGGCAGACAATATGTTACCGACAGCTTTTGGAACGCCAAGAAATGCCGGACCAATATTCATGATTGATTTTATGTGCTTGGCACACCAACCCGGGCCGCCACCTCCTCCCATAGGCGGAGGTGCTTCGACCCATTTAAGGAAATGGAGAAAATAGATAACCCCCATGGAATGAGGCACCACCACCACTTTCTTATTGCCATTCGTCACATACATAAGCTCGATTTTGCTCTTTAATCTGCTAAGATTTTGGTCCCGGACCTGCAAAATCCAAATTGTGAACATACTAGAGAAAGTCGACTCAAGACATTTACACATTTCAAGCTAATTCTTAACAATGCTATTAAAGGGAAAAAATCTAGAGCACACAGTACTCGACTGGACACTACAGTACAACGAACAGCAGTTAAATTTCTTAGCACAAATTCTTGAACAATTACAAGACAAAAACATTTCAATCTATTACTACAAAAAGAATCTTGCACCAATCATGATTATAGTAATGACTGATAATAAAGGGAAACACACAGTGGGTCCCACTGTGTTTAAAAAAAATAAAAAATTACCCACCTAACTCATGTGTGAGTGGTTGTCAACCTACAAATGGCATGGTTCGATAATAAATGGTCATATTTTCATGAATTCTAGCATTAAATAACTAAAACTTGGCCCCACCTGCAGAGGACACATTGTTACATTTAATACCATACAAACTAGCTTGATTATACTTCACTGAAATTAAGGTTATAACATCTGATCAATCAAAGGCAAAAAAGTATATCCTCTGTTTGCAAATTTTACCTCTGTATTTTGAAAGGATAGCCTCCAATCATATGCAGCCATGTACATATTCTTGCCCTCGTAGCCAATGCGGGCTAAATTTTCAATAAGAATCGCCCAAACGAAATACCCGGGGGCAAAATAGTCAGCTGCAACTAGCCCTGGAACTGCACGAACCCGAATGCCTGGTGGATCGAGGCCCGTCTCATTGTCCAAAGATATATGTTCCAACCAACACATAGGCCTAAATTCCATCAAAATACTCATTTGGGTGCCATAATCTCAATATAAATTTCAACATATTAAAGCTTAACTATACAAACTTGTTTATTTAAATTGTCTTCAACAAGTATGAAAGCTGTGCACAATGTTTACATAATGGGTGACGATATGTCTTAAACTACTTTCTTTTACTAGCACGATGCCATGTCAAACCAAGGACAATTTTCTTCAACAATTAACAAATTACAAAATCGAAATGTACAACTACCTCCTGAAAATTTCAGTAAAGCTACCTCCCCAAAGCCGCCTGCGAAAAAGGCCCTCGGAGCACGGTCTGCCCTCCCAAAGCTCAAGTCCTCCGGTGACAATGCCAGGCACCATCACGATCGGGTGGAGAGCTGTCAATCCTTCGCGCTTGAGCCTCGTACCGGGGGGTTCCGGCACCTTAAGTCCAGGCAAATTTACCGGCAAGCAATTGTACAAAAACAAGAGCAGCCACCAAATAGTGCAAATGTATCCAATTGCCCAACAACATGAATCTATGCATCTCCATTCCTTATTAGGCCGTCTTTTTCTCTTATTCTCTTCTGGTGAACCCTTATCCTTCTTCTCAATTTTGGGGATGTCAAATGATTTCTTCTCATCATCTAACTTGATTTGTGTCTTTTTCTCAGATAATTCAATACACTTCACAGGCTCCAGAAAACACAGCTTTCGAAATCGAAGCATTGAACCCATTGCATAAAAAATTACAAGAATTTATAAATTATGAACAAGAACAATGATCGTCAACATCCCAATTGAGAAAAAGGGTGTGCCCAAATGGAGTTGAATTTTGAGAAAATGAATAGCAAGAACTCAAATAATTAAACAGAATAAGGTAAGAAAGAAAGAGATGGCGGTGGCAGGTGTTGGGTGCTGCAAACCCACGTGGTGGAGGAGGTATGAAGTGTCTCTATGGGTGCATAAGAAAACAACACATTACACTCGTAGACTGGGTGACAAAAAAAAAAAAAAACAAGAAAGATGAAATTCGGCATCTTAAGTTCTTCTTCAAGAATATAAATTTTCAATAAAACTATTCCAATTTGTGGCGTTATATGACGATGAAACCAAGACAAGATATTTAGGACACTTGTATTTGCATGCAAAAACCTCCTTCAGCTGTCACCACACTTCTTTGTGAGTTCCGTTTTGCATTTTATCTCCTCTCTTTCACGTGGAAATCTCTTTCTTTTCTCTACTTATTTAACATATACTTTCACGTACGGGGTTCTTCTTACGCTCATGGTTCGATTCGATTATGAAGTAAAATTTTTGGATATTTAATAAATAGAATCGTCGGGTCCAAATATAATTATGGAACCGTTCGGGTTCGATTCGATTCGTTTACATAAATACAATTAGTGACGTGTTCATTCATAACTTTTACAAATTAAATTAATTCAATTTTAAAACATATAAATAACAAGTTGTCCAATAAGATTAATTCAATATATACAAACACCAAAAAATAGATATTAATATAACACTACATAAAGTAAATTCAATTTATTCAAGCAGTCTGTCTGCATAAAGAAAATGAAATATAAATTAAAAGTTATATAAATTATATATTTTTAAGTATTGATAATGCTTACCAACTATTTGATTTAATCATCAATTGTTTGACATGTCATACTAAGAAACTCTACAAGCATAATTAAAAAAGCACAATTAACAAATACAAATAAATTACAAATTGTTCAACTAATAAATTGAATAAGAAAAAATTGGGTTGGTCTGGGCTAGCTAGACATGGACTTAGTTTGGAAGTTGGAGCATTAATTACTAAATTAGTTAATTTGCTAATGTATTTAGAAAAAATTAAAATAATTTAATTAATTCAATATAAAAAATTAAAAAAAATCGAACTGAACTCATCAGTTCTCGATTCAGATATCCGTTCGAGTATTTAACTTATGAAAAATCGCTCGATTCGATTAAGTTCAGGTTCGATTTAGTCCGATTCGATTCGAGAGTTTTGTCCAACCCTACTTCCTGTAAGAGGGTAAAGTCCCGATAAATGGAGATGAGAGTTACTGTATAGAGAGATAAAAAATAAAAACACGAAGTAAAGAGTGTATATGTACAGCCCCAATCATGGGAAATTTGCACACAATACAAAAAACACGGATACCCAAACCTTCCACGGTGATAGGGGCCTGCTGCTTTGTGATTTCCAATTTAGAATATTCACAGTGAGACAAACAAGATTTTGGACCATTTCTTGTAATATGTGTTATAGCAATGAATTATTTGGGGTGGGGGAACAGTGTTTAAGGAGATGAGAATGGGATGATGACATTTTTGCTTTGTGTTAAGCTCGACCGATGAGCAGCATCGGAGGTTTTGCTGAGGGAACGGAGAAATGGGACATGGATTTCAAATAGGAATTGTTTTATGTTTGGCTAAGTAGGCACGTAAATTTTAAAATAGCTGTCAAAACTATGATTGAAAGCATCTTAGAGACTATTTTTAAATAGCATCTATATACTTGAAAATACTACCACGTAAAATTAATTCAATTTCAATTCGATTTATTTTATACATCTGATTCGAAGTGCTAAACAAAAGTAGCAAAATTAGACAACAAAGTCTGGTGCTTCAATTACCAATTCTCCGTCGTCAAAATGATTCACGTGACACGAAAACAGAGCAAATACCAATTACTATCAACTTATTATCCAGACATTACATGTGATCCACATATGTAATCACTTAAAGATACTCACAAACATGCACAGATGCACTTCGTGTTATACAATCCAGCATATGAAATGTGTCATAACATAAAATATTGAGTTAATTGAATTTAAGTGGGTTGTAATCAATGTTTTTAAAATCGAATCAGATCAGACTGATCAGTGGATCCAACCGAAAAACTAGGAACCGAACCAAAATTCAGTCTGATTGTAATAAGTTAACCGCCTAATAAAAAATCGATCAAATAACCGAAAAAACTAGTAATTTAAACCAGAAACCAATCACGGTTTTAACGATTGGATTGATTTTCGAAACTTAATTGAAAAAAACAAAATTATTATATAATAAAAATATTGTCTAAGAAACAGCAACCCATTTTCCCACCCTATGGAGCTTTTATATTTATTTCTTGAGTCCTATAATTGATAAACTTTCAATGCGAGATTAACAAACTTTACTAAAGCGCACTTTGTCAATGCACTTTAATGTGTGATTGACAAACTCCAATAAATCACACTTGTTCAATATTATTTATGGCTACATTGTGCACGACTACAAAATTAAATTACTCAATTCAGGTGGATTGCTAAATATTTTTTTAATCTTACAAATTATTTTGTAAAATTGGAATGAGTTTTCAATTGATCCAACAAATTAAAAACTAATGAGTTTTATATTAAAAAAAAACATACATTTGACATTTGTATTTATTTTGAATTGGTGGTGTGAAAATTAAATTTTATATTGTTGTCAAAATAAAATTAAAATATTTATAAATATTAATTTATTACCTCCAATTTGATCTCGATTGAACTTTTTGATCCTGAACCTCTCTTTTTTGGATTGATGTCCGGGTCTGGTTTTAAAACATTGGTTATAATGTATAATCGAGAAGTTATAATGTTCGACTATGCTATTAGAGCTCTATCATTAGTTTCATTATATATTGTTTTCTTTATAGAACTAAAATTTAATTTAATTTAATTCAATTCTAATTTATTTTTTAATATTAACAATGCTAATATGAAAAACGAGTGATAAGTGAGAACGAGTGTGTTAATTATAGCAAATTTCTCTATTTATGTGGAGATTATCCAACTTAATAATGTAAAACAGTTGGCTCAGGCTATCCCTGTACCAAACAAATTGATTCGTCTCGAAAGAGGTTGGATCCACATATACCCTTTTTTTTTCTTTTTTGCATGACATCGACGACATGTGGAAGATCTATGTGGATATGATTATCAATTAACCATTTTCATTAATTTGAGATAAGATAGGTGATGAGTGGTGAAATTTAAAACAAAAATTGAAGTTTAATGATCCAATTGAGACAAATTAAAGTTTAATGATGCAATCAAAGTTTTGCTAAACATTGAGTGATCACGAATGAAATTTACGCTAAAGCTAATGGTTAAACCATTCTTAAACCTTCTTAACTATTGAAACTTTTATAAAATACAATTTAATCCCTATTCAATTTGAGTAGTAATAAGGGTGGACATTTTTTTCATGGTAGTTGTTCAAATAGAGCAAAAAGTATGCCAAATTGACTAGTTCAATTAACTTCTAGTTAAAATTTAAATGCTTCTAAATTTTAGAACCAAAAACCAAATCATTCTAGGGCGTGTTCGGTAGAGATTAAAATTGAAAAACTAACCGTTATTGTTGACTTTTATTAGACGAGTGGGACTCAATAACGGTCATATTTTCAATTTTAATTGGATTTTAAGCTGTACCGAACATGCCATAATATGATTCTCATTTTTAGATACAAAATTAAATTTTAAATAAATTCAAATTTTTAATAAATTTTAAAAGTATATCGATTCTTTATTTGTGTTTGGTAAATACTTTGTACATCCAATAATGCATCTCCATCCTATGTTATATCAACATTTTAATCGTGGCATGTCAAATTAGTGTAATTTTATTTAATTCCACTGAGCTTACAATATCAGTTTAGGTGACG